AAGTTACATGCCTCCACCTGGTCCTCTGTTTTCCACCCCCAGGAAAAGCAAGCTTTCCAAAGATACCTGCAAACTTTTTCTAGCTAGATTTTGCTGCTGTAGCTTCACTGGCCACGTCAGCCTGTGCCTACCCTGACCAGCATCCCACTGCAGGAAGCTGAAACTGTAGTAAACAGCGCTGGCAAGGGGAAAGCCTGTTTCAGACCCAGACGCCCAGTCTCACTGACCTACAAATCACATGCCTCTTATGTCAACAGAGCTTGTGTGTTTCAAAACAAGCTATTCCTCTCTCCTCTATCTCTGCTAGCCCAGCGGCAGCCGGATCCCTCAGTTTGTCCCTATCCGGTAGCTCACAAGCTGCACAGCTCCAACGCTACTTCCAGCCCTTTTATTTACCGCGGTACTCCTGCCTTTCGAGGTGGTGGTGTGGGGGCGTGCAGGACCATGCTCAGCACTCCAGCTCCCCTTCAGCCCCTTGCAAGGCCAAGATGGAACCTGAGCCTGCTGGAAAGCTGCTCAACATGACCGTCCCCGTGGGAATCCCCCTGCAGATGCCTCCCTTCGCTCTGCTCTGCCAAGCGGCTTCTTGCGAGCTGTCGGTCCCAGCCCCCCTCGCCGCCCCTGCTCCCGGGCTTCGCAAAGACTTTGCTCCCTTTTTCTCTCCTCCTTCTTGCTGCGTGTGACGTACACAAAGCAGAGGTGAGAGCAACACGTGGAGCCAGCAGACTCCTGTGCTGCAGAGGTGCTTCCCTGCAAGGAGGGAGGACGGTTCACTTAGAGACCCACAAAAGCCCTGGGGAAGGAAGACAAGCTTACCTGGGGACCTTACATGCTGAAATGACAGTGCATCCTACCAGTTACTGAGGACAGGCTGCTGGCATCCATCTCCAGACAAGAGAAGGAGACTGATAATTACAGCCTTTCCTGAAACTAAGCAGAGACCCCAAACCAAAGATGATGTAAGAGGACTGAACAGTGAAAGGTTGACATGAGGGGGGCATGTATGGACGAAGGTATTTCCTGCAGAACCCCAGAGGCAACAAATTCAGTCAAGTATGCACAGGGATTCCCCGGTTTCTCAGAGGACAGGGTCTAAGGGAACAGCATCTGGGGCATAGCAAGAAGGAAAATAAGCTGGCACCAGTAGTATGAATTCAAAAATGAATTTTCATTGGCTTGAATTCCTAACATCTTCATTAGC